CCAAGACTGCACCAGTTTCCCTCCCACCCTTCCAACAAGCACGAATTCCCCGTCTCTCTCTCTGCAGAAGCAAAGCATAAAGAATTATTCCCCCCCCCACAACTTCGCCAAATGGATAAAAACCCAAATTTCTTCCTTTCTATTCTTCCTCCCTTCCCCATCCACCAGGTAGCAAGCTCTCTGCACACAAGTCTTTTGCCCCCTTGCAAAAGTGAGGCTCCCCCCCCCCCGCCCCAAAAGCCAGAATTTGGCTTGGCCCGACCCCAGCCCAGGGCCTGGCTGCCTTCGGATATATATATGCCTTTTGCTCAAAACAAGCCACCTTCCAACTTGGAATCCTTTCTTTTGTTGGTATCTTTCATTTATGCCATTTATTGCCAATGTACGTTTATCTGCAATGGCTTTTTGGCAAAAGAGACGTTTTGCAATAGTTTGGGCCCATGTAGTAGCTTCATTTGCAATATTGATTTGAAAATATAAATGGGTGTCTCTTATCTGAGTGCAGAGATCAGTTTATTTGCAATATTTATGGCAAATATGAATTGATATCCTATTGATGGCCCATGTGTTCATTTCCTTATTTATGGAAAGTATAAATTGCAATATTTATGGCGGATTTAATCGGTGGATCTGTAATATTTATGGCCAAATATTAGTTTATTTGTAATATTTTGTTTGTAATAGTTATTGCAGATGTAACTTTATCTGCAATAGTTTTGGCAAATATAAGTTGATGTCTTTGATTTGCAATATTTATGGCCAATGTAAGTTTATTTGTAATATTTAGTGAAGATATAAATTGGTGTCTTTTGTTTGTAATATTTATTGCAGATGTAACTTTATCTACAATAGTTTTGGCAAATATAAATTGATGTCTTTGTTTTGCAACATTTATTATGGCCAATATTAGTTTGTTTATTTATTGAAGATATAAATTGGTGTCTTTGTAATATTTATTGCAGGTATAAGTTTATCTGCAATAGTTTTGGCAAATATAAGTTGATGTCTTTGATTTGCAACATTTATTATGGCCAATATAACTTTGTTTACAATATTTAGTGAAAATATAAATTGGTCTCTTTTATTTGCAATATTTATTGCAGATATAAATCGATCTGCAATAAATATTTGCAGATCTCTTTTCTCTGCAATATTTGCAAACTGATCCCCTTTGTGCAAGAGCTGGGCGGCGGGAGGAGGTGAGCATAAAAATAACACCACGTGAGATTATGCCCACGTGAGGACACTCACCCAGAGTCACCCAGGGTCAAAGGTCAAGTGGAACGCAACCCTTTTTAACACCAGCTGCATCCCCAAAACAAAAGTTCCTAGTTCGGGTCTTACTGGCAAAGCCAGACCTTCTGTTCAGCTGTCTGCAAAGCAAACACTAAGCTAGAGATGATTTGGGGGGTGGGAGGGCTGGATGGCAGAGAGAGAGGAGGGGGGGGGGGAATCTGAGAAAAGCAGACCCAGTTTTCAAGGGGATTGCAAGCTTTGAAACTGAGAGCCCCTGTGCCACCGACGGTTGGAAAGAATAATGCAGTATTTATTTTTTTATTTTTATTTTTTTAGCCCTGGTCAAGAAAGACTGCAAGAATCTTTGCAAAGGAAGAGCTGGCTGTATGGAGTTGGAAGGGAGGGGAGGAGGAAAGAGGCCAGGTTGGTGGAGAAGACACACACATACACATACACACACACACACACACACACAGAGAGAGAGAGAGAGAGAGAGAGAGAGAGAGAGAGAGAGAGAGAAGGAAAGATGGAAAAGAGGCAGAAAGAAAAAAGGAAAGAAGAGAAGGAAGGAAGGAGAGGCAGAAAGAAAAAAGGAAAGAAGGAAGAGAAAGGGAAGGAAGCAAGGAAAGAAAGAAAGAAGAGGCAGAAAGAAAAAGGAAAGAAGGAAGAGAAAGAGGGAAGGAAGGAAGGACGGAAGAAGAGGCAGAAAGAAAAAAGGAAAGAAGGAAGAGGAAGGAAGGAAGGAGAAACAGAAAGAGAGAAAAGGAAGGACAAGAAAGATAACGAAGAAAAGATGGAAGAAGAGGCAGAAAGAAAAAAGAAGGAAGGAAGGAGAGACAGAGAGAAAAGGAAGGAAGGACAAGAAAGATAAAGAAGGAAAGATGGAAGGCAGAAAGAAAAAAGGAAGGAAAACAGAAGGAAAGGAGGAGGCAGAAAGGAGAAAAAAGAAAAGGGAAAGAGAGGCAGAAAGAAAAAAGGAAGGAAGGGAAAGAGAGAGAAAGAAGGAAGAAAGAAGAGGCAGAAAGAAAAATGGAAGGAAGAGGAAGGAAGGAAGGAAAGAAGAAAGAAGAGGCAGAGAAAAATGGAAGGAAGAGGAAGGAAGGAAGGAAAGAAGAAAGAAAGAAAGAAAGAAAGAAACATTTTTGAGGCCAATTCAGGAGGGCTTGCTCCCTGCCTAGAAACCCTGCTCCCTCCCCCCTTCACCCCCCCTCATTTCTTTCCATCTCACCCTTGCAAGATAAGCCCCCCCCCCTTTTGTAGAAACCCAGCTGGAATTGTTCGATAAAGCCAACTCATCCCAGTCTAATTCCCAATTTATTGCCCGGATCAAGGCCCACGGCTTGCCATGGAATTAATCTCATGGCAAGGCCGGAAGCATCAGGAGTTTTTATTTTAAATTTTTTTTTAAAATTTTTTAATTTTGGTTACCATATAGACCAACCCTGCCCCCCCTCCTAGGAGGGTCCTGGGGAAACAGAAGACCCTCGCAAAATGAAGAAAGAAAAAAAAAAGGAGGTGGCTGTGCAGATCTTCTCCAGAAAGAAGGGAAGTGTGTGTGGGGTGGGGGGGAAGGCATGCATTAGCAGTTTTGCACCAGAGGGATATTTCGGGAATAAGGGAGGTGTCTTCCCTCTTTCTCCCTCCCTGCCCCCCCCCCGGATTAAAATGGAGATGGCAACCCACATTCCACCCTGTGCCAATCCCAGGCTTTTTAGTTTGAATAATGCCAATATTCAAAGCGGGCATCCATCGGGTTTGATGTCTTATATAGGAGAGTCCAGGGAGAAGAGACCTCAAACGCCCCCTCCCCTCCAGCGCCGCCCCCTCCCCTCCAGCACTGCAACTGCTGGACAGATTGGGCAGTAATGGGGGAGGGGGTCGGGTAGCCAAGCCCCCCCCCCTCCCTCCTTAGCAGAAGAAAAACCCTGACCTATTTTTTTTTCTCATAGGCCCTGGATTGCCTCTGGCACCCTTCACTGCATATTGGGGAGGGGGGGGGTCGAGAGAAAGGAGATGTTCTCCCCCAAACCGGGGGCTTAGGAAAAAAAAACGCAGCCCCCCCCCTTTCTTTGTGCCCCCATCTCATCCAGGGAAACGGCAAGCCCCCCCTCCTCAAATACTGGAGACCATAAACCTCAGCATCCTGCCCACTCCCCACTTCAATATTTACCCCATCTTTCTCATTAACCCCCCCCTTTAAAAAAAAACAACCTCCCTGACCAACTCCCCCCCCCGTTCTAAATACGTCTTCAACACAATCGCACAGACTCACAAATGAGGAAGGGGGGGTTAATTTTCTCCAACCCGTCTGCCTTTGGATCCGATTATTCCCTGCCCACCCACCCCCAAACGTGTTTTTTTAAAAAAAGAGAGACGCCCCCCCATTTAAAGAGGGGGGGCCACGTCCAGGCATGCAAACACCTTGTACCCTGCAGCGCAATTGTTTTTGTGCAATCGCGCCGAAGCCCTGCCGTTTTTTTTTTTTATCAAGGAGAGATAGGCAAAAGCCCTTTGAAGCCCCCCCCGCCACCGCCCCCCACCCGCCATTAAGTCGTCTTCAGGAACATCGCAAAGGTCACATTCCCCCTACACACACACGCACACACAGAGACACACACTCCGCCCCAGCCCCGACAGCGCAACCCCGCATTTCCCAACCCGCGTCCGGAGAAGCCCGGTCGGCAGGTAAAGAGGCCAGGACAGGTGGGACGGGGGCTGGGGTGGGGGTGGAAGGGGGGGTGGCGAGACCTCCTCCCCCCCGCTTTGGCCTTTGTGGGCATAACTGGGGGGGCTTGGGTTCTCTCCTGCCCCCCCTCCCCCGTTGAAATGAGGGGAGGGGGGGAAGGAAAGAGGGGGGGAATCGGAAGGCAGGGGGAACGAAAAGCCCCTCCCTCCCCCGCCCGGGAGAATCGAGGACGCCCCCTCCCCTCGTTTGAGACCCCCCCCGGAAAGGGAGCTTCCTTTAAGACCCCCCTCCCCGTCCAAATAAGGGGGGAAGATGGGGGAATCGGAAGGCGGGGGGGGGGGAAACGAAAAGCCCCCCCACCCCACCCGGGAGGATCGAGGACGCCCCCTCCCCTCGTTTGAGACCCCCCGGAAAGGGAGCTTCCTTTAAGACCCCCCTCCCCGTCCAAATGAGGGGGGGAGGAAAGAGGGGGGAATAGGAAGGCAGGGGGGGAAACGAAAAGCCCCCCCTTCCCCACCCGGGAGGATCGAGGACGCCCCTCCCCTCGTTTGAGACCCCCCCCGGAAAGGGAGCTTCCTTTAAGACCCCCCTCCCCGTCCAAATGAGGAGGGGGGGAGGAAAGCGGGGGGAATCGGAAGGCGGGGGGGGGAACGAAAAGCCCCCCTTCCCCCACCCGGGGGGATCGAGGACGCCCCCTCCCCTCGTTTGAGACCCCCCCGGAAAGGGAGCTTCCTTTAAGACCCCCACCCCCTCTCCTCCCCGTCGCTCCCATCGCCATTAAACGGAGCCTTCTGCTTCCATTCCTTGCCAAGCTCTGGAGAGCCCCCCCCCGGGGGGGGCAAGGAAGGGCTCTTTCGCGCAACCCCCCCCCAGCTTTCCTAGCCCCCCCCTCCTCCATTGTACGACGGGGTGGGCGTGCAGGCGCCCCTTGGAAAAGGGGAGCCCCCCCTGCACCCCAATAGAAAGCCCCGGAGCGAGTTTTTCCCACCCGGAGGGGGATGGGTGGGGTGGGGGGCACAAGCCCTGGGTCTTCCTGACGCCCCCCGCCCGCCCGCCCGCCGCCGCCGCCAAGCCTCACCCCAGCTGCTGCCGGTGCGCCCCATAAATTGGTGGGTGCGGGGGTTCCAGACGAACTCCTTCCACTCGTGCATCACCTGCCCGCAGCTCTTCTTCTCCTTCTCGACGGCCATGGCCAGGCCAGGTGGGGCTGGGGGCTGGCGGGCTGGCTGGCTGGGTGGGGGGCGGCCTCAAGCGCAGGGCCCCCTCCCGAGGCAGGCAAAGCGAGCAGGTGAGGCTGCAGCCGACGCCACCGCCGCCGGAGCAAGGTGAGCGAGCCGAGATGCTCCCGAAGGCAAAGAGGACGCCGGGCCGAGCCGCCGCCGCTTTATGCCTCCTCGGGCCCCGCCCCCTCCTCGCCCCTATGCAAATCAGGCGCCTCGAAAACCTGCCAGCCAGCCGGCCCGCCCCGCCCCCGCCCGCCTGGACTTCCCAGCCGGTGGCTGGCAGGGTGCCTGGAGGTGGGAGGGGGCGTAGAGGGGGTCTCTGGGTTTATGGATAGGATAGGATAAAGAATAAAGAATATAGACTAGACTAGAATAGAATAGAATAGAAATAAGGAATAGAATGGAATGGAATGGAATGGAATAGAATAGAATAATAAAATATAGAATAGAAGGGAAATAAGGAATAGAAAATAATAGAATAGAATAGAAATAAGGAATAGAATGGAATAGAATGGAATGGAAGGGAAGGGAATGGAATGGAATGGAATAGAATAGAATAATAAAATATAGAATAGAAGGGAAATAAGGAATAGAAAAGAAAAGAATAGAATAGAATAGAATAGAATAGAAATAAGGAATAGAATAGAATAGAATAGAATAGAATAGAATAGAATAGAAATAAGGAATAGAATAGAATAGAATAGAATAGAATAGAATAGAAATAAGGAATAGAATAATAAAATATAGAATAAAATAGAAATAAGGAATAGAATAGAATAGAATAGAATAGAAATAAGGAATAGAATAATAAAATATAGAATAAAATAGAAATAAGGAATAGAATAGAATAGAAATAAGAGAATAGAATAGAAATAAAGAATAGAATAGAATAGAAATAAAGAATAGAATAGAATAGAATAGAATAGAATAGAATAGAATAGAATAGAATAGAATAAAAATAAGGAATAGAATAGAATAGAATAGAAATAAGGAATAGAATAGAATAGAATAGAAATAAGGAATAGAATACAATAGAATAGAATAGAATAGAAATAAGGAATAGAATAGAATAAAAATAAGGAATAGAATAGAATAGAATAATAAAATATAGAATAGAATAGAAATAAGGAATAGAATAGAAATAAGGAATAGAATAGAAATAGAAATAGACAGGAAATAGAGCAGAAATAGAATAGAATAGACTTAGTAAGAAGTAGAATATGAAGGAAGAAAAATGTAAATAAGAAACAATGGGGCAATAAGGACAAATATTCTAAAGAAGAATAAGGGGGGAAATGTAAATAATGGAAGATTACTGTTATGTAATCGCTGTTTAAAAAAAGGGAGAGGAGTACATACTGTGTGTATGTGTGTTATGTTTTGCTTTGTTTTGTTTTGTTTTGTGGGTTAAAAATAAAATAAAATAAAGAATAGAATAGAAATAGAGCTGGAAGGGACCTTGGAGGTCTTCTAGTCCAACCCCCTGCTCAGGCAGGAAACCTGATATACATTTCAGACATGTGAGGTCCAGCAGCCTTTGTCCTGTGGGGAGGGGGGGAGATGGAGGCATACATTGGCTCCCTCTCGGCCGGCCTGGGCCTGGGCCAAGGCAGCCGGGGCCGTTCCCTCGCTGTTTCCAGGATGGTTTCGCGGGCCACATGAAACCACTTTGCGGGCCGCCTCCAGCCCCTGGGCCTTGTGTCTGACATGTCTGAGCTAGAAGACGTTTTTTCTCCAACGAACAGAGGACCTTCTCCCACAGGGCTTCTCAGCCTCAGGCGGACTTCAAATCCCAGCTGGCTGGGGGATTCTGGGAGTTGAAGTCCACCTGTCAAGGCTAAGAAACCCAGAGCCACTCAAAGGGCTGGGGAAGGGTGCAGATTGCACGGATGTCAACCAAGCCTGATCCTTGGAGAAAAGCCAGGCCAGCAGATCTTCCGCAGGGCCCTCTTATCAGTGGTGTCCTCCCCCCCCCCTTCAGATGCCCAGCAAGGTGCCCCCTACTCTGTCCTTGAATGTGAATAGTACAAAGGGAAACAAAAGAAAGGAGGGAACATTTTAATAGATAGGTGTAGAAAGGATTTTTTGATAAGAGGAAAATTATCTCGGTCAGCTGCAGAGAGAGAGAGAGAGGAAATTCACGCCCCTGGGAACTAGTCCAGCCAGCTTCCCGCACTGGGATGGCAAATTTCTCCTTATCTAAAAGGCTAAAGAGAGAGAGAGAGAGAGAGAGAGAGAGAGAGAAGGAAAGTGGAAGGAAGGAAGGGAGAGAGAGAGAAAGAAAGAAAGAAAGAAAGAAAAAGAAAGAAAGAGGAAGAAAGAAAGAAAGAAAGAAAGAAAGAAAGAGAAAGAAAGGAAGGAAGGAACAAAGAAAGAGAGAGAAAGAAAGAAAGAAAGAAAGAGGAAGGAAGGAAGAAAGAAAAAGAAAGAGAGAGAGAGAGAAAGAAAGAGAGAAAGAAAGTGGAAGAAAGAAAAAGAAAGAAGGAAGGAAGGAAGAGGAAGGAAGGAAGAAAAAGAAGAAAGAAAGAAAGAAAGAAAGAAAGAAAGAAAGAAAGAAAGAAAGAAAGAAAGAAGGAAGAGAAAGAGAAAGAAAAAAGAGAAAGAAAGAAGGAAAGAAGGAAGAAAGAAAAAAGAAGGAAGGGAGGGAAGAGGAAGGAAGGAAGAAAAAGAAGAAAAAAGGAAGAAGGAAGGAAGGAAGAGAAAGAAAGAAAGAAAGAAAGAAAGAAGAAAGAAAAAGAAAGAAAGGAAGGAAGGAAGAGGAAGGAAGAAAAAGAAGAAAAAAGGAAGAGAAAGAAAGGAAGGAAGAAAGAAAAAAAGAAGGAAGGAAGAAAGAAAAAAGGAAGGAAGAGGAAGAAAGGAAGAAAAAGAAAGAAGGAAGGAAAAAGAAAAAAAGAAGAAAAAAAGGAAGGAAGGCTGTGAACTTTTTTTCTCAGTGGTCATATTTGCATTTATTTTATTTATTTATTTATTTTACCAGAAAGCTCTTTCCATTTCCCAATGTGCCCATCCAATAAGTAACCCACCTGGACTCTGCTTAGCTTCTGAACCTAACTGTGGCCTATCTCGAACCAAAGCATCTCTTACTTAGGCTGGGATGGCCAATGCTCCTGGTCTAGCCTTTAAAGATGGGGGAGGGGTTGGCAGCAAAATCACCCTCAAATTGATTGCTTTATTATTTGATTTCTGCCTGCCTTCCTATGTGCACGCCTCCTTTCCCTCTTCCCTCCCCTTGAGTGAACTGAACAGCTGGCCCGGCCCCACAGCTGCCTTCTTAATTTTATTTCTGCATTTTGGGGTGGGGTGGGTGTGTTTGCAATATATTTATTTATTTATTTCCCCCTTTATCTGACTTGGTTTGGCGTGAGAACAAGGCCTCCGCGCTCTCCTCCCAGCAATCCTGCGAGGTAGGCCAGGCGGGCTGAGAGACTGGATGGATTTGAACTCGGGTCCCTCATGACCCTCCAGCGGAAAAACACCCTCCTTGGTCAACTTTGTCCCCCGTATTTTTGGGGTGCTTCCCCCAATCCCTCCCCCCTGCAATGGGCAAGTTTTGAACGACCCCCTCCTGCTTCACGCATCCCCCTCCCAAGCCAGACCCTTTTCTGGGGGGGGGGGGGCAAAATATTTGAAATTATCTCCCCTCCCATTATCCTCTCCCTTAGGACTTTGAAAGGGGAGACGCCCTTCAGGGATCTTCCACCCGCTTTGAAGCCCCCACCCATTAAAATAGCCCCCCTCCTCGCCAATTTGCAATTCCTAAACTAAATCTCCTTGAAAAGGGATCTTTGAGGTCTTATCTGGGTCTCTGGATGGAGCTATTTCCCTATCAGTTTTTTTTTTTGCAAAACCTGTTTTGCCTGGGGGAGACCCTGGCCTGACCCCTTAGCATAGTGTCTTTCAACCTGGACAGCTTGAAGACGAGTGGACCTCAACTCCCAGAATCCCCCAGCCAGCAGATCAGCTTCCCCGTTTAATTGTCCAGACATCTAGCCCACATTTAATTGGTTGTCCTGGGTTATTTTGTCACTTTTGCTGAAGTCAAGATATGTTACGTCTACCGCATTCCCACCGTCCACTAAGAAAGTTACCTTGTCAAAAGGTGAAATAAAGATTGTCTAGCCATATTTGTCCTTCTCCTATTTTAAATCCTGTGTGTTGTGGTGTGAGGTCCGATCAAAGCTTTGTAGAGTGTCTTTCAACCTCAGGAGCTTAATAATAATGATGATGATAATAATGATAATGATGATAATCATAATAATAGTAGTAGTAATAATAATAGTAATAATAATAATAAAGTTGGAAGGGACCTTGGAGGTCATCTAGTCCAACCCCCTGCTCAGGCAGGAAACCCTATACCATTTCGGACAAATGGATGTCCAGTCTCTTCTTAAAAACTACCAGTGTTGGAGGGAGGGAGGGAGGGAGGGAGGGAGGGAGGAAGGAAGGAAGGAAGGATAAGATTCGGAAGGGACATTGGAGGTCATCTAGTCCAACCCCCTGATCAGGCAGGAAACCCTATACCATTTCGGACAAATGGCCGTCCAGACTCTTCTTAAAAACTTCCAGTGTTGGAGTATTCACCGCTTCTGGTGGCAGGTTGTTCCACTGGTTAATTGTTCTATCTTGAAGACAGATAGACTTCAACTCCCAGAATTCCGCAGTGAACAGATCAGTTTCCCATTTAATTGTCATGTCATCTAGCCCACTTTTAACTCGTTTATTAATTTAGCCCACTTTTAATTTGTTTATTCATTTAGCTTGTTGTTATTTTTTTTCAATTTGCCGAAAGTCAAGATATATTACGTCTACCACATTCCCGCCGTCTATTAAGAAAGTTACCCAATTAAAACAAAATGTGATAACTGTAGGCCGGCCACATTTGTTCTTATCTCATTTTAAATCTAATATGTTGGGCTGTGAGATGAGATCAAAGTTTGACCTAGTGTCTTTCAACCTGGAGAGCTTGAAGACGGATGGACTTCAACTCCCAGAATCCCCCAGCCAGCAGATCAGTTTCCCATTTAATTGTCAAAACACATCTAGCCCACATTTAACGTGTTGCTTTAAGTTGTCCTGGGTTATTTTTTTTTTTCACTTTTGCTGAAGTCAAGATATATTACGTCTACTGTGTTCCCAC